ACCATTTAAAGGGGGGATGGGGCAAGATTTTCTTGTATTGAGTATATTGAGAGTTTCTAGTATTGCCTGAAAGCATATGCAAATCAGTAAATAAAACACGTAAACAAAGAAAACAGTAAACGGAAATTAACTATTGTGGCAAAAACCACTTATTCAAAAACTCTTCCATCCTCCATGAGTATGTGGAAAACCAACTGAAATATTATTAATATTTGCTGTCCTCAGAAGTAACCTACATGCACAGGTAGCCAACGCCCTTGCTGTGCAACAAACCCACCCACAAAGAACAGGATGAACCTATTGAAACAAAACGAAAACCTTGCTTTGTTTTGTACTGTACTCTAGATACAGTAACATAATGTCTGTTGTGTCTCCGCAGTGTTAAAAACACCTGGCACTAATGTGTGTGGATTCAGTTTATGTTAGCTAAATAAGTATGCACAGCTGTCTGTTAGGAGGAATACATTCTTTGAAGTAGCGCATGCAGATTATTTTAAGAGTATATTATATGTTCTGACATTTTTATCTTCTGATAATCTATTTCATACCTAAGGACTTTAACTAAAAATATGCGTTTAATATAAAAAATATATAACTTTACCAACATAAACAATGTAGCTTAGGTAAAGGTTAACGTAGAACAACGCATTCTCACCCCAAGGCGTCACCTTTGACCATGCTTCAATATTTGACGTTTTAGGCGCCCTTTAGCGTCACTTACATGACGCGATCCTACGGCGTCATCTAACTGACGCTAAAGGAAAGCGTCAGTTAGAGGACGCGGTTAGGTTTAGGTGTGGGGTGGGGGTAGGGTACACGCGATCCTAGGGCGTCATCTAGCTGACGCTAAAGGGCGCCTAAAGCGTCAGATATTGAAGCATGTCCAAATGCTTCCCAAGGCCTCAGTTAGGTGACGCCTTGGGAGTGAGAATGGCCTGCGTAGAACGTAAAAAAAGTGTTTATTTTATTTAAAAATTAATCCTGATTATGTGTATTTCATACCTTTCATACCCAAAAATAATAATAATAAATATTTTTAAAATATCTGCTATATAATACAAAATTTATATATATATATATATATATATATATATATATATGAAGAGTTCAGATGCAAAAGCCTCTAAGTGCCATTTGAAATTTTCTTCTAGAATGATCATTTTTATCAAGCTTGTATATTTAAGTTCAGTAATTTCACTTAAATGGCAATGATAATTACCTATTAATTGTTATTTAAGTGAAATTACTGAACTTAAATATACAAGTTTGATAAAAATCATCATTAAAGAAGAAAATTTAAAATGGCATTTAGAGGCTTTTGCATCTGAACTCTTCATATATTAAATATCTGCAATCATTAAAAATGTTGCAGATATTTTTAAAGACATTTTATTAAAAAAATATATAATTATATATATGTAGTCTAATTAAATACAAAATCTACACGATATAACACATAAACGTCTATTTTTTTTGTTTTGTTTTACCTATTAAAGTTCATTATAACTACCAACAATTTTTTTCCAGACTAATTTGTGTTTGGGGAACAAAAACTACCCGTCACCTGATCAGTTGTGAAAAAATGTCATATCCTTTAACAATACATATTGTTTGTGGATGGTACTATGATTTTTTCCTGTTGTGTGGCTGTGGTCAGAAGCTTTATATTAGGCCTACATAAAAATAGTTGTTCTCTGATTTACAAGTAAAAACACAACCAAGAGTGCACATTTGAGATCACTTTGTTCTGCGTTGTTATCTTTAAACTTCAAATAATGTGGTTCTTCTTATCCCCTAAAGTTGATCCTGGGACACACCCGAAAAAATTCATCCTCTCTGCCCCTCCTTGTTCTGTTCCCTTCCTTCGCTTCTTGGTATAGCACTGCGTGCATTGTAGTCATACGGGATGACTCACCCTCCCTGACACACCAACCCTGGCTGCTGTTATTCACTCTAGTTCATACAAGCAGACACACCTATGAGCACTCACCAGGAAACACCCGTTCCCACATATCCTAGCATTGAACTATTACTATATTTTTATGACTACTCCAGCATCGTTGGCTAACTCACATGATCCAAATGAAAAGCATGAGATCCCCTTGTTTAGATAATAGTGACTAATCTCACAAATATGCATTTGCCTCAAACTACAGAGCTTTGTTGCATTTGCTGTGGCCATTTCGTGTCTTTTTTTTCCCCTCACGTGGTTTTGGAACTCTGCAGAAAAGCATGACTGTTTTGTTCCTTGACATTCTTCGCCTGTTTGTTATCCAAAAGTTTATATTGCATTGGGGAGACAAAACTCCTACACCACGAAAGCAACAAGAGAACACTGGAACGCATGCACACTTGCTCACAGTTGTTTCAAACGTTTCGTCTGTTCTTCTGGTTACAGTAATTATAAGATGTCTGATAATATCGTAAGGTTTTCAAGTACTGGCTTCTGCAACATATTATGTATATATTTCATGTGTCTCTGTATTCAAATCAACTTGCCCCTCCCTTTGCTTCTTTACAAGGCAGACAGTAAAACCTCTTTCTCGTTTGGAGAATTCATCCTTTGCTTACCATTACACACAGCCCTGAATACGGGTGTGACACGTGGATTTGCTCACTTTGTGCCTCTGGGTTTTCTCTCTGCCTGTCTGTTTGCCTCAAAACCAACCAACCACCCTCCAATCCCGACAATATATGCACACGCTGTTTACCTGCATTGAACAGCCCTTTAAATGAAGCAACCACAGACGTCTTACTCAATCAAATGGGAATTAGACCTTGTGAAACCTATTTTGTGAGATTAGGGCAGGTTAAAACAAAGCAAAACTATTGAGGCAGAATTTAGGGGTATAGAGGAAGACGCTTCAAGGAAGGGCTGCTTTTTGACAAGGATGACTGATTGATTTGGTTTGGTCGCTGCGGGGCAAATCCTGCAGCAAACGGACCCCCTAAACATAAAACAGGAAGAAATAAAAAAGTGTCAACGGTGGCAAGCCTGATTAAATCACTATTCTAGGTCTTCCAGGTATCTTATCAGCCATGCAAATCATGTTCAATTGTTGCTTCAGGGATACATTTCACTTTACTATACTCTTGGGGTTACGTTTTTATCTAAAAACTTTACATACAGTTGTGTGTGTGTGAGAGTGTGTTAAATATAAAGATGATTCATCACAGAAGGGTAGTTGTGTATACATACAAGTATTATTTACATTATTGATTGAGACATTTTTGAGTTGGACACGCAAAGGCCATCACATATCTTCAATTTGCTGTATTGTGTAATACAAACACCTTGAGTTAGATAGATGCAGAGAACCCATCTTCAAAGGCTGTGCTCTGAATTGCATGCTCAGTGAACTATCACAAATTTGTTTAATTACATTTAATTGAATACTGGATTAAAAATGTTCAAAGCCTTTATAATTTTAGTTAATTAGATTCATTATTCTAATAGTTTGTTCTTTGCATTTGTCATTGCGAGCATCTGTAATTTGTCTCTATTCTATTTTTTTGTTTGTTTGTTCATTCATTCATTCATTCATTCATTCATTCATTCATTCATTCATTCATTCATACATTATATTGACTGACAAATTTAAAATGGGAACAGCTGATAACAAACAGCGTAACAATCCATTCAAAGTCTTGATGCATATCAAGCTCTCCATTGTTAAAAATTCCTGAGATATTATTCTAGTTTTCTTGAACGTTCTGACTCATGTTTATATAAGGTCCAAAAAAGAAACATACAAACTATATTTTTCTGTGACTGTTATTTTGCCATTTAAGCCTTGTTTGTTGGCTGTCTGATCAGTTTGAATGGACTGTTTTCTTTCTAGCTTGTTTACGATTAATACACAAATATCTCTGTACTTTGTTATACCTCATTTTAGACATGCACAATCATTTTGTCAACATATACCCGAAAGGTAATCAATTTTAATTAATAAAACGTACCTATTAACCATATAAAAATGTAAAATACAAAGCATACCTTAAAAAACAGACTTTATGCTTACTTTTTATTCTTATTCAAAGATTAAATTGTTTAACTGCAGTGATGTTTCTGAGAATGAAACTTCTCATAGATCTCTGGATCTACACTATATGAAAATGCTATGGAAATTATGTTGGACTAGTAGTGAACACATTATCAAAGGCAAGAAGCCCTCTTTCAGATTGCAACACATATTTGATCTTTGTCATTAAAAACGAATGAAAACTAACCAACATAGAGAAAAAAAATCAAGACATTGACATTGTGGGACACAATGTAGTAGGCTATATGGACGAACAGAAAGTACAGCAGTTGTCACAAGAGTACTCAGTAGTATTTGATTTAATCAAACCTTACAAATGTTTGTTTTTTTGCTTGTATTTTTCTTTGAACATCTAGTTAAAAACTATATTCCTCAATGCAAAGTAAAGTAAAATTCCAGTAGCATTACAGAGTAAAATCACACTAGCATTAACAGTCAAATAATGAAAACGAATTAAATACATGAACAGATATATAATTTGTTGTAAATTGTAATGTGTTATACTTTTTTTAGGAAGATACATGCACAAAAAAATCATTTTACAAATGTACAATAGTTTGTGCCCTTCCTAAAAGATTGGGATCATGTGCCACTATGTGCCATTTTATTTTAGCCAACGCAATATTAGAGGGAACCGGGTCTATTCGTTACAGTTTCTACTCCGGTTTACTGCAGGCTACTTTTTGAAAGTTTGCATTTTTTTTTTTAAATTGAACATCGTATGCCTATATGTTAATTAAAACACTTAACAAATTGCCTCAATAAAGATGTGACCTTATAATTAAAATGAGTCTGACTCTTGTCCCAAGAATACAGTTTAAATCTGATTCCATCCACATTCACGCGCTTTTATCGACGCTGCCTTAAACCTACATGTCACTCAAACAGTAGGTGGGCTGGACTAGAATTATAAGGGTCCACTCCCCTACTACACCGTTACCCCCGCCCTCTTCTCCAGTGAAGAACTTCACAGACCTAACCCAAACTCTGCCATTCTCCATAGCCCGGAGTTACAAGCACACTGAGGACAAGAAATATCAAGAAAGTGAGAGGAAGAGAGAGAAGTAACTTACAAAAAACAAGAAAATAATAAAGCGAGGCTTCAAGCATCGAGAAAGAGAGAGAGAGAGCGAGTACACGAATACGCCAAAGTTTAGTTTGGAAAGCGTGGTGGAAAACTTCTGGGCTGTGGCAGAAAGCTGTGGACCGCGGATGATGCCAGGGCAAAGGTGTTGAAGGTTCCAGGTATGTTTGTGTTTCTCCTGAGGTTAATGAGTTATGCAGTTCTGGTGTGCGACGCTCACGTTGCATTTAAATTAGTTTTCCAGAGACTGTCTGTGAACTTATAATATTCTTAATTATGCAGAATAACGCTATATATTTGCTTATTTGGTTCTTAGAAAGTCTATTATATGTAATAAAATCTCAATCTTCTCATGCATTGTTGAGGATGAAGAGGGGGTGGGTGTGTATCTGCTCAATTGTCATCTGTTGCGCACGTTATTTTTTTCTCCTAACATTGCTAAAGTTCAGAATTAAGCGTTTATTTAGTTAAACTCGACCTGCTAAATCATTCAGAAAAAGGGATTTATAAATAAGGCAAATATTCTGTTTTTTTGCATGTCATGCAAACGAAACACCCAAAGAGTGCAACGTGGATAAGAAGGTTGTCTCTGAGTTTGGTTGCATGACTTTGACCACGCTTTAAAATAAAATAATATTAAAAAAAGTTTTAAAGAAAGCTATTTCCCCCCGACAGAAATTAATTGTTATACAGTACCATAAAGTCATTTCACACATCTATAGAATTTGTATCTTTCCTCTTGAAACGAGTATTATCCTGCCATACCAAATCTGGTCATAGCTCAAGATTTTTGGTCAACGTCAGCACATATTCTGCACTGTGGATACATCGTTTTCTCATATTTTCCCCACTTACTTTATTTATTAGACGGAGTTTTAATTTGTTTTAAAGATTCTTAATATCCTTAAAAATAAAGTGTGAATCTTTGAATGTAGTTTGGGAAGTCTTTCCTGCTTTGCTTTGATTTTTGTTAACCTGGAGCCCTGGCCAGGGTGTGGGTAGTGAGTAAGAGGGGGTGAAGAGAGGAGGGGAGGGCGTAATGGAATGTAGTGGTTTGGAAAGACTTGCTAATTGAAACCAGGTTTGAAGCACAGAGGGGGAAAGTAAGGCTTGCAATGCAGGAGAATGAACAAGGTGTTTTATTCACACCAACTGTGCCATGAGAGGTATTTCAGTAGGATCATTGAAGGTTTCTGAACATAATAAGAAAATAGAAAAATAGATAAAAGAGAGTGAGATTGACGTAAAGAGGAGTGTTGCAAAGAAGTGTTGAGATTTTGGAGATATCCATGGAGTGTTGACATCCAAAAAAGCTGCCTTTCAGTTGATCTGATTTAAGATATCTTTTAAAAATATCCACAAGCAGATTTTCCACATTGGGAGCCCATCCCCCTTCTCCTGCCACACCCAAAGCTTTCTTCTGTTTTGTCAGAACACAACTCCATAGCAGACTAAAGCAGTCAACCAGTAATATTAAAGCTGTAATAAAGCAACTTTATTGAAATTGTTATCATTTGAGTCATTTTTTTTCATAAACTAGAAAAATATGCTGTGCAAGGGTATGTCTTTGGAGTCCGATGTTAAGTTTTTCTAGTGTGGCTGCCTCAATTTCAGCAATCTCTTTCAACCTCTGTTCTATGTGAAGGTTATGAATTGTTTGGTTTAAAACAGAACAGTGTGTCTTTATCTGATGCGTGGTTGTCCTGGAGGTTTACAGTGGAGGCACAACTTTCTCCTGCTCTGTGTTGATAGGTCAGATTAGGGTGTGCTTCATAAGACCTTCTATTCCAGTGTGAAAACGGAAAGAGTCTGGACTTGTGCACACTTCCTTTGTCGTTTCCTTAAAGGCTTGTCGAGGACTTGCGATGGAAACGCCAAGGGAGGAGTGGCAGGGTTCATAACGGAATGTTTCATTCTCTTATTTGTTTGTTTTCTCACATCTTGAATCTTTTTCAAAAGGGTACAGAATGAAAGAAGTCAACTCCGTGAATATGTGATTATCCGTCACAGATAAGTTGTCAGCACACTTGATTTTGGAGATAAGGATGTAGGGATCTTTTGAAGAGTTTGGAAGTATGAAGTATGAAGACTTTGTTGCATTATCTTGGTACACGTCTTCCTGTTCAGACAGACCCTGGAGTTATCGTCATTCCATGGTTGAGAAATACTGGCTTGAAGCTAAAACAAAGTTGGATAATACATTATGGCTTTGGCAATATGATTCTGAGTCAGAGTCAGGCATTCATATTTCACAATTTAGTACAGAGTAACACATAGTTTTGAGCACTTAGTCAAGGGCGGATTCTCAAGATTTACATGAAGTTGTTTTTTAGCCCTTATGTAGTTTTGATTTGTCCTCACACATAGGCTATACTTTTATTATTATAATAAATGTTGGCGTTTCCAATTGATGCCATTTTCTGCCTTGTGATTTTCTTTTTTTAAAATATGTATTTTAATAGTATTATCTGCTGTGAATTGTTTAACACAATGTTAAAATGAATATTATATATTTTTATATACTTTATTGTTATTGTCATTTTGATCATATGACTATTTGTTTCGTATGTGCGTCTACAACACATGATAGACTGTACTTCCATTGTACTTGGATTACTAGATTACATTTGCTGTTGTGCTTGAAATAGAAGATACGGTCTGCATTTGATTAAGGTTTAGGATCTTATGACAGTAGGATGGTTAGTCTGTTTATAGTTTATATAAGCTTCATTTTCCAAGGCTGGCCATTTTGGTCTGACATTAATACTTCAATTATGTGTGAGTCCTCTTGTTTTCAGAAACGGATACTTTTAGAAATGGTGTGCTTCATATGCTGAAACCGTAATTTACTGGGGTAACAAGTAAATCGGTTATATTGTAGCCAAGGTAAAAAGCATGCAATGCATGCTACTTGCATGGCATTTAGCAAATATTTCATGGTAGCCACACCTGTCATTGGTGATTGACATAATGGGTTAAATATTGCTTTTGGTTTGTGCATTTTAATTGAACAAGTAACAATAGTGCAATGAGTGAAAGTGTTTACTGCTAACTAACTACTATTATAGTTAAAAACCACTATTACAATATGCTTCAAGTATGTTTCAAGTAAATGTAAAATGACCAAATAATATTTCATATCAATGAATAACCGCAAAGATACACTGCAGTGACACTACATACATGGCTTCCTGACGTAAGAGTTGCTTCTGATGATAGTGTTTCAAAGTTGCACGCTTATTTGGAAAGTATTTTATATGGCAAATTAAACACTGAGGCCACATTAAATAGTTCTAATGCATTCAAAAGTATTCTTTAAGGTAATTTGATGATCAGCATTTATTGACGTAGACTTAACGTTTGACTACAGCTCCAACTACATCACGCCATTTCAGTAATGTAGGTATGCACATCTACTTGTTTACAACAGCACGGGGGGACGCAGCAGAGGTTATATCAGGTGCAGTTTACGTGAGTTTGTTTCTAGTTGAATTGTAGATAAGAGTTAAGATCTGACTAAGTTAGATGTTTCAAACCACATGCCTTTTCACTTCTACAAAACACTTGGCAGTACTCTTTCAGACCTATCTTTAAAACCATCTGATGGTATACTGGTAGTGAACCACCTCCCCATCAGTCATCACTATGTATTTGATTGCTGACTCATATCCCTTGACTCTGTTTGAAAAGCCTTGTTAACAGAATAAACAAACATGCCCGGATAGACAAAAAAAAAACGTGACTCAGTGTGAATATTGACAGCCTTTTGCTAATATACATGTATCTGAATTATGTCAATGTTTCTCTAACATTTTCACTAATGGTTTCATCTTTTTGACTCCTGTTTGCTCCTCTGAAATAGTTGGTATTTCCACCATAATATTAAAAATTGCATGTCTTGCACGAGAGTTTGGTCACTTTTTGGGTTTGAATTGAGTCCATGTGGAAGTAAAAGTACTTTTTAACCAAATTGTAGTTATCCCTTTTTATGTATGAGCTCTTGTCAAAATTGCCTGCCTCTTGCAAGAAGAATGAATGATGAGCATTTAATGGAGAAATATGACTGACACTTGTTACAATAAAAAGTATCCTGTAATTTGCTTTGGAAAAACGTGTCTCCTAAAGAGCCAAGTAACCAAGCATCTCCTGTAAGCAAAGCCAAAGGCCACAATTTATGTTATTGCATTGTGGCTGACTGCATGTGTGTGCGTCTGCTATCATACATTATAACACTTTAATGGAAAAAGTGTGGCATTAAACCCCAGCAGTGGCTTTTCTATAATTAGTGGTTTGGTTGTTTGCCCAACAATTCTATCACTTATCTACCCCTCTGCATTGCTGAACCTTTACAAATGCGAGCTATTGCACAACTATAAATCCACATTTACATTGGAGCACTAAGACCGCTTTTGTCATGAGGGGCTTCTGTTAGTCTTTATACATTTGGAAATCAGCTGGCTTCCTTCCTTTAATGAAATAAGAAAAGGATCAGGTTTCCTTGCTTCATCTGGTGTTAGTAAATGGAAACTTTAAAAGAGTACCCTGTTTTTGTACCCAGCTCAGACCCACTGGGTGAGTTAAGTGGTTGGGTAGAGAGTACATTGCTTTGGAGTTAGTCACTGCAGGAGAGGCTGGGCTCTCTTCCAGTTGGCCTGACTGCTCTATCAAGGAATGCGTGTGACTGGAGGCCTGGGTGGGGTTCTCAGCTCTCTACATGTGCGCTATGTGCGGGCTTGAGGGATGGTGTGTGTGTAGTTTCTCCCTTATTGTGCGAAGGGCGTGTCCCCAGCTTTGGATTTGCAACGTTTGCTGCCTGTGTTGTGCTATAAAGTCTTTTTTTTTTAGATTTGCACAGTTGTTGCCAAACGACCTCTGCCAGATGGAAGCATTGCGGTGTCGTCTGACACTTTTTAGACCTGTGATTATGGTCGCGTTTTGTACTAGTACCAGTCTTTCTCATGCACGACAATAGAAACTTTATGTGAGGATATTTGGATATTTGGTTGCAAAGCTTTTTAAAGCTAGATGCCTTTCTTTTAAATTCAGTATGCGCAGTGAGCTTGTTTGAAACCTGTGGTTTTGTTTGGCTACTTCCACCTTTAGCGAGGTGACAGCAAACTTGATACAACTAAGTGCTGGGTTAGTAGATGTCACCCGTTTG